ATCTTTTCGGTAGTTGTGTGTTACTCCTAATTTTAAGCGTTCGCCAACAATTGAGCCTGAGATTTAACTTTTCATCATTTTTTCCCGTATAAAATGTTGACTTTGAAAGGCTTAAAGGGCCCATGTCATGCGTTATTACCCGTCCCCTTGTGTGTTATGAAGGTTTTTATGCATGTAAACAGTCTGCAGTCACAAACCCGCAAAGTACACCCTGTAGCGAGTAAAACTCTAACACAGAAAAGACCTGTCTATGCTGCCCCAGAACGCCTCATTGCAGATTTCTCATTTTCCATTGTTTGCTTCCTGGGTTCTGTGACGTGTGAACACCCAAATCAACAACAAATGACCGGATTGGCCCAAATGGATCAATCCGCGGAGCCCTTCACATACCAGGATCCCTTGGCTAGCTAACAGCGAGTCCCCATTGACTTGCATAGAGCTCCCTGAACGCTGGTAATAGACGAGTTGGGATGTCGGAGCGTTATAAACGTTTTTCTTACTCAATATCAAGCCACACTTATTGTTTTTACTTCGGCTGTGAGTGTTTGTGTGCGCTCAGGATGAGTTTCGCTTGTTCTCCTGTATCGCCGACCCAGAAACCTGTCCGCTCCTCGCAGCAGCGAGCCTCGCAGGGAGGGGGGGGCAGGAGCTCCAACAAGGCGTGCAGGACAGAGTGAATACACATACTACTATACAGAGATGCTGTATGAGAAACCACTGTGATTTTGGAAATTTGCACAATTTAAATCTTGTACTTGTTTAGTATTATTCATTCTAGATCTAGATTGACACAAAACAAAACATGTGGAACGATTCCTCACATTGATAAATAATCCACTGGTTAAATAAAGAAGCCTGGAAGTGAAGTAACAAAATGTTTATTTAAAAATAACACGTACACAGTCATACCAGATTCTCCAGAACTCATCACTGACGATAACTTGAAATGTTGTAATGATAGAGCAGGATGTGACATAATCTAAAGACAAACTGCAGGAACATTCAGTAGTGATGTGGGGGGTGGTGTGGGTGTAGAAGGCACAGATTCAGGTTGCAGTGGGGGTGTTCAGTAGGGGTCGTTGAAGGGGTAGTGAGGATGTCCTGCATCCCGGGGAACACGCTTCTCTTCCACCTGCAACACCAGAAACAAACAGACATTTCCCTCTCGTACAGTAACATTCATCCTGGCAGTTTTCAAACCCAGTCCAGAGTTTGATCGTTACAGACATGTGTACAGATATAGCTTTTTACCGAAGAGCTACTCCACTGCAAGACTTTGAGGGCTTAAACTTATATATCTAATGCTTATATCCCGACAATCTAAATGAGGTTTGATTCGTCAGAAGGAGATCGTACCAGTATTTAAATGATTTTTAGATTTACCAGGACCGTGATGATCACAGGCTCCCATATTATCTCTAGGGTAAGAAGGGTTTTATAACTGTAGTCCAATAAAAGTTATTTTCCCATTATTATATTATTATAAGCATCAGAGTAGAGTAAGAGTAAGTTCATTCTTTTGTAGCTATGATAATGTTGTCATCTTTAAAAGGCCTGGACCTTAATGTTGCCAGATTCTAGCTTTGAGCAGCAGCAGAACCTTTAGGAGTTTAATGAACCTTCGTTCAAATATCCTGGTTTTTCTAGTATTATGTTTGCTTGACGAGAAATGTGATGTGTTCATTATTTTATAAAGTCATTCTAATACTAGAGATACTCTGGAGGAAGAAACCGTCCTGCTTCATATTGACATGCACTGTATTGTGATGATTTCCCCCTTTTCTGCTTTACATGTAACATAAGGGATGTATTTGTGTTGGACTTGAACTTTCTAAAAACTAACCGCTGCAGCACATAAAGCCACTTACTTGGATCATTGGTACAATGTAGCGCCAGCCTTTGTTCAGGGCTGTGATATTTTTCATTTCCTCTGCTTCCAGGGTGAACTCAAACACCTGACAACATAAAAAAAGAAAGAAACTTTATCAACACCAACCACCCCACAAGAGTTGCTTTGCTATTCTAATCTACCCTTGTACATGAAATGCCATACACACATGCAAAGCTTTTTCAGTTAAATTAGCTTTTAGCTACTTAAGGGCAAAAACGTAGCCTAAATCTTAAATTCAGAGTATCTCAGCAAGAAGGCCAAGTGTAAAATAATAGCCTCATGTTTCGAACAGCTGTGAGTGAGATGTTACTCCACCTGAATGTTCTCTTTGATCCGGGACTCTGTCACACTCTTAGGGATTGTCACCACTCCTCGTTGTGTCTGCCACCTGCATGTAAAACAGACTTCTGTTCAAATGTACTTACACTTAGGTGGGCAAAGTGCACTTCATACACTGCAAGAGCATCTAAAACTGTGCAGTATTGACGTAGTTACATCATGTACATTTGGCCTAAACGTTATACTCATATTCCTGTACTGTAGTTTGGATTTATAGTTTAAATTGTTCAAATAATGCAGTAGAAAAAACATCTGGAAATGTCTAAATTGATATAACAATTGCAATAGTGACTACAAAAAAAGGGACCATTTGAAAACTTGCCTAATTTAAACTTTCTTAAATGTCGCTTGATTTCACTTTAAATGTAAATGTTGTGTGTGCAACTTTTTGCCCCAAATCACTACTTTAATGTGTATTTTAACTGTCACATATTCAGCTGTCCTGCAACAGCCATTTTCCCTTTACTGTGGTTGCCTCTAATAACAACTTTAGGACTTAAATGCTAAATACAATCAGTTTAACAATAAAAAAGGGTTCTACAACTTTTTTAAACCGCCTGATATCGATGTATTAATGTGTACATTAGGTTCTTAAGTAAGCGGTTGGGCGCATGCCAACACTATGTGAAAACCTTTTATACATTTGAATTTTCTTAGACCATTTTAAGATCTCAAATAATTTCATTTCTTTGACCTTTAATAACTTTCATTTATTTATTTGCTTATTTTGTTGACACACTGTACCTCGTTGCATTTAAATATATTTAAAAACTGAAATGACTTTGCACACTAGTATAATGTAAGTAGTATCCTATGTTAGTAGTTTGGTCATTAGTGTACACTAACTTATTCAGATCATATTATGTTTAATAAGAGATTTATTCCACTGTTGATATGTGTATATTTACTGTCTACATTTATTTGTTATTTGATTTGAATTCATGTGCAATCCTTATTAAGCATGCTGCTAAGACTACAACTATTTCCAAAATTGGAATCAATAAATCACATCTAATATAATCGAATCAAATCAAAAAATGAAGGACTTTAAGATTTAAATAAATCTAATCTTTAACATAGCCTCTGTAAAAAACCTGTCGTTTTCTAAAAAAAGTATGTACACTTGCTTATTGAGCTGCAATGTAATCAGCAGAGAGAGATCACCTGAGGATAATCTGAGCGGGCGACTTCTTGTATTTCTCTGCGAGGGAGGCCAGCAACGGCTCCTGAAGCAGAACCGGCTCACTTGGATCCTTCCAGGCCCGGTCCGGAGAGCCCAGCGGGCTGTAGCCCGTCATCACCAGGCCCCTGTCCCGACAGTGGGCCAGCAGCTCCACCTGGGCCAGGTAGGGGTGACCCTCCACCTGCACAACACACACAGATACGTGTAAGTGTTCACATTCAACCACTGACTTTCAGTCAAATAAAGTTCTGATCCTCACACACTCCCTGTACCTGCAGCACGGTTGGCTTGATGCTAGCCACGGACAGGACGTCGTCTATCTGCCGGCTGTTGAAGTTGGACAGGCCGATGGATCGGACCAGGCCCTTCTCCACCAGCTTCTCCATGGCCGCCCACGTCAGCTTGTAGTCGATGTCGTCATACAGCATGGTGCCGTCCTCCTTCCTGGGGAAAGGAGCATCTCCTCGTCTGGGAGATACAGAGTGGGAGCCAAAAATAAAAAAAAGATGAAAAAGTGGGTGGAAAAGGTGTACGCCTTGTTCTGGTGATTACAGTTGAATTTCTTGAGTTTGTTGTTATAATCATTTGGGCACCACTGCCCCATAATCATGCCACTCATGTACACTCCCGGTACGTCCACATGGTTCCGTCACGTTGAAGCTTGACGGTGGGCGTGTCTGGCGTGCGACCAACAACCAATCACATTAATCTCCCGCCCCGGACACACAAGCACGCGGTTTGATTGGCTAGAGCTTGTACTGGCATATGATTTGATTGGCTGGCGCTTCCGTCGAGGCTTTAAAAGTTGAACTTTTCTCAACTTTCAGCGCGAGCAACGGAGGCAAAGCGACGCGGCGTAACCACAATGCAGTTCGGCAAACCGTGACGTAACCCCTTTAAAAGTGAATGGGGTGCGTCTCCGTTGAAGCACGCGAAGCTGCCGTGTGGACGCACTGTAAGACAGTGGATTTTCTCTTCCAGTTTCATGTTTTACTTTAAGACCCTTCCCTTAGTTTGCCATGACATCTGAAAAAGCATAGCTGACTGGAGTCATTTCATTTAAATGAATCACTCTTTGTCTTGATCCATTACTTGAATGAGTTACTTGCTAACAATGTTGTTAAAACTCACCTAGCAAGAAGCGCATTCATTTTTATTAAGAACATGTGATGTTGGTGCCCTCTTGTGGCGGAAATGAATAATACAACACAAAAAATTCACACGTAAACCTTTTTCAAAAGCAGATGAAAAATACCTTATAGAAATTGGAAAAAAAGAAAACACTCTTGCAGAAAGGTTTTTTCCATATCAAAGTAATAAACACAGGGGAGTTCACTGATTGAATTGAAAATGGATCAGAATTTCCTTTCCCTCAATCCCCTCTCAGTGCTTCCGTGGACAGACTGAAGTAGAACATAAGTAAAACTATATTTTTGCTTTTCATTTATTTCCTCAATAAAAAGGAGTCTAGCTATTGTCAAAGAAAAATATTTTCAAAACCCATGACCCTGGGCTTGATATGCAAAGATAATTATCTCGTTATGTCAGGAACACAAGGTGGTTTCCTGAGGATAACGAGGTAATCCTGTCCGCATTGGACCTTGGAGGAGGGGGCGCTCACTGGAAGGCGTTGGGCCAGTGGATGAGGTAGAGATCCAGGTACTCCAGCTTCAGGTCCTTCAGGGTCTTCAGGAGGGCCGGCTCCACGTCCTCCTGGTGATGCCGGGTGTTCCACAGCTTGGATGTGATGAACACGTCCTCTCTTCTCAGGGCCTTATGCACGGATAACATGTTAGGATATTGTTTGATTTAGTTTGATTTTAATGCAGTTTTGGTGAAGCTGTTTTACCTTGCCGGGGCTGAACGTCTCCTGTAAGGCTTCTCCGATCTCCTCCTCGTTGCCATAGATGGATGCACAGTCGATGTGGCGGTACCCAGCCTCCAATGCCCAGATAACTGCCTGTTTCACCTGTGTGGTGGAAAAAGGGAGCGCTGTTGGTTGGGAAATGCTATCACATGTTTTATTGTTGGCCACTAGGGGCAGCAGAATGTGCAAAACTGACTTATTATCTTAAGTTCATATGGTGATCTTGTCAATAAGCAGTCAGCTAATGCATATTATTTATTACAATTGTAGTCATGAATACACATCATTTACATTACACAGCAAGAACCATCAAAAAATATAAGAGGTTGGAAATGTGCACAATATATAATTACAATATATGCAGTGGCGTATTCATTTTAATAGGATACTATTGCTGAATTGTTTCAAAGGGATTGGCTTCTGACAGTTAAATGACTCTAGCTACCAAAGGGCAGCTGTTTTATGAAAGTCATCTGGAAGAGAGAAATCCTATTAAACCTGTTATAAAAGTGCCGCCTCTACCTTTCCTGGCTCACTCTTCCATGTTCCCAGTCCGATCAGCGGCATCTTCCGCCCCGTGTTGAGAACTGCAAAGTCATTCATGCCTGTGAAAAGCACCTTGGAGGGACAGAGAGGAATCAGTCGGTGAGGGGAGCTGCTCGGCGTACTCAGGGCTTTAAAGCTGCAGTAACATAAATACTTTTGTATGCTGCTCTTGCTCTTTTGCACTTTTTGCATATCATGTATTTTGTTTTTGCTATGTTTGTAAAATGTAATCTTCTTAAATGTTTTATGTGAGGGACTGCGGATGGAAATGAGCTCAAAGCTAAATCTAGCACTGTTACGCTTGACACATTTGAATGTTTTAAGCATTACTGTGCATTGTCCCTGCCAAATAAACGATTAAATAAATATCGTATTAGCTTTCTGAAGCCATTCAGACTGACACTGGAGATTTTCACTGTTCCACAATCTGTAAGAGATAAATACAACAAGCTACCAGAGGCTGCCAAATTACAAACATTTGGTAAAGGGAATAACTGTCTATACAACAAAAACATCACTAGAATAAAAAATAAAGATTTCTAAACACCATCTGACTAGGAATGCACAATGAAATTGGCACAACACCGATATTGGCAGATGAAATCTCTATCAGCTGGTAATTACATTTTCTCCAATACGACAGACTGCTATGTTTAAAGGGCTTATATAATGATCATTTCTTCAAATGTTGTGCCTATACTCTGACATGTCCCCATGCTTTAATGTTCAAAAAGCTCTTCTCATACTGCCTGTGCTACAGCCTCTCTATTCATCAAAGCTCTAAAACCATCTCAATTTACTGATAAAGCTATGTATATGACATGCTGATGAACAATTCAGAGATGTTCTCATTCTGAAGTCGCCATGAATGACCTGCATTAACCAAAGTCATACTCCTTTCTGAATTTGGAGAAGGGATTGAGAGCAGGATATAAGTCTGAAACAAAAACAACCCGACTGTCCGAGGAAGAGGGGGAAGTGCTGCTGACTTGCATTTCCCTCAAAAGTCACCAGACTGAACCGAGTAACCTGATAACACACTGCTGACAGAGAGATAACATACATTACTTTAATCAAAGCATAAGATAGAAATCACTGCATATGGCATCAAGGAGCAAACACTTTGCCTCCCATAGGAGAGGTGAAGTCCCTCCCCTTCCGGGGGACCTCATTTCGGAAAAATTATGTATTGAAGTCAATGGAGAGAGAAAGATTATCTTTCGATCCCGTTTGAATTGTGCCACAAATTACACATATGATGTTAGTCCATTTGAAAGATAATTTTGCAAGTCGAAAAAAAAAAAATGTCGTAAAACTGTGAAGCAACACATTTGTTTGTGTGAAACCGCTCAATGAACTACATCTTTCGTCTCGCACCACACACCAAGACGGCCGCCACGTTGGCACATTTCACTTCTTTCTTTCCGAATGAGGCGAAAAGTATTAAAAGAGGTGAAAATCACTACAAGTCTAGCCATGTTGAGAGCTGTACATACACACAAGGGGACTTAGTCGGTTCCGTAAGAGCCAGCATGCGGGACCGGGACTCTGGGATTTGTAGTCTTTCTAGATGCGTATTTTTCATAGTCTTATATTTCAACAGTTTTACGACAAACTGTCACTTTTTTGACATGGAAATGATTTTTTAAGATTGACAAACGTCATATGTGTAGTTCGTGGCACAATTCAAACGGGATCGAAAGATAATCTTTCTCTCCCCATTGACTTCAATAAATACTTTTTCCGAAATAAGGTCCCGTGGACCGGAAGTAGATGGGCGTGACTTCGCCTCTATACTACAGAACTCTAAAAACACTAAAAGGCCATGTTAGAAGTATTTGTTTTAACAGACTCTTATCAACCAAATCAAGGCCATAAGTAAAACTGCTTTTTATTATTAAAAAAAAAAAAAAATGGAGATCTCATATCCAGAAAAGATTTATGTAAAGTTATTCATGCTTTTTCTTCAGCAGGATGAACAGATGTTGTTTCTTGTTCCAGAAGGACCAGCGCATTCAATTTCTGTCTTTAGGCCTTTGTTCAACCGGAGACATTTATGCCCCATGTTTTATTCAAATATGTGCAGTAATCCTGTAGAAGTGGTATTTCACATGAAAAAACCTTTACAGGAGTTTTAAACAATAAGTGTTGTACATACATGTTTTTGCTGTTCACTTCTTCTGTTAAACTGGAATTCAAAACTGGAATGCTTTGGGTTGATTTATGCTGCACTTTTATCCTATTACAACATTCCGGTAGATGCCCTATAAAGTCATGTTGGTCTCCTTCAGTCTATTCAGCTCCAACAGACTCTGTTTTTTCTCTATTTCTCACGTCCATGTATTATTTTTAGGGCCGGGACTTTAACGCGTTAATTAAGATTAATTAATTACACAAAAATTAACGCGTTAAAAAAATTAACGCATTTTAATCGCACTTATTTTTGCACCGCGGAACGTTTCTCACTGGATGAGTTTCAGGGGTACCGATTATACTGGAGCACCAACTAACGTTCATTACTTCAGACAACAACAAACCACAGTGAACAATAGTCAAACG